ACAGAGAAGAGGGGAGGAGTGGAAAGATATAGGGAATGGGCCGTTGTCTATAAGGCCAAAGAATATAGGGAGGGGGAGGATCGTTCTAGACTTTTGTGCTGTGGCAGCTTTTGTGTTTGTTGGGAGAGATTACCCACCCTCTCGGATTGGTGGGTCTGTTTTCATTGCCTAAGGGCCTTTTGTTGGTTTTGTATCGCCTATGGGCGCTTTTCTAAGAAGTAAAACATCTTGTGAGGGGTTGATACCTCACATAATACAAGGGGGCACACTTTCCCCTTTTCTTTTCATTATGGTCACCGATGCGCTTAGCCGTTTGCTCACACATGGGGAAAGTCGAGGCCAACTCAAAGGTTACTCTTCTAGATGTGGTTTGATTAAGATTAACCATCTTCTTTTTGCATATGACATGCTCCTTTTTACTAGCATGGACCGTTCAAAGATTATGAATCTCCACAAAATCATCAAATCCTTTGAGATTGCCTCGGGTCTCAATATTAACTACAACAAATTTGGTGTTCATGGTGTCTCCATTGATCCACTGCACTCATTGCTAAGGCTTGGGGATGCAAATCTGGAGCTTGGCCTTGCACCTACTTGGGTCTCCCTTTGAACCGAAATCCTAGAAAGGATTGCTGTTGGCGTCCCATTATAGAAAAAACTTCAGAACCGCTTGAGCAAATGAAGCAACATTTTTATCTCTAAAAGGGGGAGGCACACTATCCCACAGTCAGTCTTATCCAATCTTCCTACATATTAGCTTTCCCTATTCAATTTACCAAGAAAGGTAGCAGAGCAGATCAGTAAAATTTTCCGGATTTCTTATGGGAAGGACCAACCACAAATGGCAAGCCTCGTCCAGTTAATTGGAAGCAGGTCCAGCTCCCTTTAATTGTGATGGCCTGGGCATTGGTAACATCAAGCACAAGAATAGTGCTCTACTCTCCAAATGGATTTGGCAGTTCATCAGTGAAAGACACCACCTTTGGAGGAAATTCATTTCAGCAAAATATATGGGATCTTCAACAGACACCTAGCCCGCATCCTGCCCTTCTGGTTCCAAAGGTCCGTGAACTTCTATCCTTCAACAAACTCACTTAATTAAGGATTTTGCTCACTGCCAGGTGGGGCAGGGAAGTCAATGCCGTTTTTGGGAGGACATATGGTTCCCCCAGAGGACCTTAGCCAGCCTTTATCCGAGGCTCTTTGCTTTAGCAACAAACAAGGATGCCTGAATTACTGAGCATCGGTCCACGGCATCTTCTTGCTGGGATTACAGCTTCCGCAGACCATTTAAAGATGAGGAACTCGTGACTGGTTACACCTATCTCATTTATTCGATGCATTTGCCCCTCCCCCCGTGATGATAAATGGTTATGGCCCCTCGACCCGAGTAATTTCTTCACTACTAGCTCTGTATTTAAACGTTTGACATCGGCCAAAAACCACACAAAATCCTCCCTTTTTCCCACCCTTTGGCAATGCAAATGTCTCAAAAATGTCAAGTTCTTTTGCTAGGAGCTCATCCATGGGGCAGTGAACACCTATGACCGGATTCAGAAAAAGCTTCCACACATCTCCCTCTCCCCAAGTTGTTGTTACATCTATTTCAGGGCATCAGAATCGCCGGGACATCTCTTCATTAGTTGTAGCTTTGCCTCAAAATTCTAGGGACACCTCTCTACCTTTGGTTGGGAGACAGTGCTGCACAACAACCCCTCCACATTCCTTGACTGTCTCTTGGCGGGCCATCCATTTAAAAAGAATAGAGCAACGCTTTGATCCTTTTCATCGTAGCTTTCTTTTGGAGCTTATTGCTAGAAAGGAAGAACAGAGTCTTTAATGATAAATCTCTTCTTTTTTATTCTTTTCTTGACAGAGTTACTGTTCTAGCTCTTGGTTGGTGTAAAAGTTTATATCCCTCTTCAATAGCTACACCCTAAACGACCTTATTACTAATTGGAAGGCGTTTTTGTAATTGCCCTGGAGGCCTTTTGTATATTTCATACCATCAATGAAATACTTGTTTCATATAAAAAAAAAAAAAAAAAAAAAAAAAAAATCATCCAAGGTTCTTTCCCTCCCTACCAGTATCTCTTTACCAGATGGATTTTCCTTTCCTCTCAACCACCAGCACAGATCTTCTTTCTACAAGAGTTTAAGAACTTATCTCATACAACATATCAGTGGTGATTTTGGCTCTTTGGTGGCGAATTTAATGTCACCCATCATGGAACTTATTGTGAACAGTGTAGTTAGTTATCATGTACAAGCTGGTTGTTGTTACTTAGTTGGGTGAGTAGTTATATTGACAAGTGCTGTAAGGTGGCTCTAAATATAGCCCCTCCATTACCATTTATTAGTGAAATAAGCTAAATTATGTCAACATTGTTTTTAGTCAGTTTAACACCCCCACCCACGTTTCGCATCGGTTACATACTGATTGAAAAATAAATAAACAAATAGCAAAGTGGAAAAGAAGAAGCACAAGAAAGCTTAGGCTGAAACCGTGGTAGCAACAGCAAGAGCGGCAAGAGAAAAACCAATCCCAGTCGAGAACCACGCTCTCAGAAGCCTGCAATATTTAACATGATTGTAAATTAAATAAACAAACAATTTGCAGCAGCCCATTTGAACATGAAAGGAAAAAACCACAATAGAAAGAGAAACCTGGCATGTGTTCGTCCAAAACGAAAAATAGGTTGGTTGAAGGAGGTGATCTTGCAATCGCAGTAGCAGCAGGAAATGGTATGTGAAAGGCGAGGGCGAGATGTGGTAAGTGGGAGTAGTGGAGGAGTATGAGCGCCAACATCGGCTCTTTTAATTCGCCTCCATCTTCCTGCCATTCTGCGTGGGATCGTCCAGAGGAAGAGAAGAAAAAAAAAAGAAAAAATGGGAAGGAGGGTTCTAACTTCAAGGGTGAGAGATTTGGGGGAAATTTACATATTTGACCCCAAAAAACAGTTTTAGTATGCTCAAATCATCTACATTTTGAAAACACCCGTTTTTTTTTTTAACCTACTTAAAAGCATTTATGAGATGTCTGCCTATACGAGAGATTATTATGTCCTTTTTATAACAACCGAAAAAATATATAAATATATATATTAATTTAAATTATTATTTTTTAGTTGTTTTCTTTTATTTTTTCAAAGATAAACCTTTTTTTCTAGAAATTATTTTTAAAAGATAATTTGTTCTTAGAATTTAAAAAATAAAAAGTAAGAGTTTTATTAAATCTTCATCTTTTTATGTTAATCCTATTTTAAAAAAAAAAATTCATTAGGGTTTATTATAAAAACCCTTAAACCCTGGGTTTTATTTTTCTTAAACTGTTAGACCTAGTAGAAAACAAGAATAATTTTGGTATTTTTTTTAAAGATCGGTAAGCTTTTTTCTTCCTCATTGTTTTAATTTTATTTTTGATTTATAGTTTTTTAATTCAGTTTATTGAGAAAAGTTTTGAGGTATTTGTTTTTTTAGAATAAAATATTTTAAGGACTTTTTACCATAAAAAATTTTCAGAATTTTTTGTTTGAATATTTTTGTTTATGAGACTGTTTTTGGGCTATTTTGAGACTGCATAAAAAGTTTACCTATTTGTATCCCATAAATTATAGTTTATTGTTCTGATTTTTACATGAGAAATTATATGTTTTTACCAAGTTTTAAAGGTTTTCTATACCGTTTTTAGATCTGATTTTTCTATAAAAGTCAGTAAATTGTTAATTGTCGTATGGAAAATTCTTGGAAGTTTTATTTTATAAAGATTAGTTTGGTTAGTAATTGGTTGAATTTTAAATCCTTGGATATGATTTAACGATTAATTTTGGATATTGGTTGTTTATAGGCCTCTAAGTTGACAACTACCAAAGAGGAAGTTAATAAGATTACTAGGATTTCTGAAAGAGGTAAATAATTTGTCGTATCCCATCGAAAAAATATTGTAAGTAATTTACTGTATCCCTTCAAAAAGTATTGTAAGTGATTTACCGTATTCCTTTAAAAAATATTGTAAGTAATTTTTCATATTCTTTCGAAAAGTATTGTAAGTGATTTGTCATATCTTTTCCAAAACTAAAATGTATTCTGGATTTGATATGACGATTTGAAATTGATATCTTACATATGAAATTCAAGTTTTATTATGGATTTGAAAACTAATTTGGCAATTGAAATTATGTTTATTTTCAAAGTATTTGAAGTATTCTTAAATGATTTGATAAAGTTTTGTTTAGATTTATTTAAAGGTTTGAAATTGATATTTTGTTTATTTGTGAAATATTTGAAATCATGTTTTAGAGGATTGATAAAGTTTGTTTTAAATTAGTTCAATGTTTTGAATTAATTTAATATTGAAAGTAAGTATTTGTTTTGCATTTTATTTGAAAGATATTTTGATTAATTTGATAGGGCTATCTGGATATGCCATGATTTTGTTTTGAGGAACGTTTTACTTATTTGGGGTAGTAGCCTAATTTGGAATTGATGGATTTCTGTTCTGGTTTATTTGTAGGAAGGCACTTTTGTGGTTTGGCATTGTTTGGGAATGGAGATTCATGTGTGTGTTATTCACTCACATGGCCTCACACTTAAGTAACCGTTCTGTTTGCTTTGGTCGATATTATTTCGACAACTCTGTTCTGGTCGATATTAATTTGACAACTCTGATAGAAGCTTCTGATTGATTGGTGTTACCGACGGATAACCACATATTTTCTGTAGGCTACCCAAATAATGCAACCTTCCACTCTGATTTTGAAAGTATGAATGAATGTAAGATTGTTTTTAATGTTGGAATGGTTTAGTTATTCGAAAGTTTGAAAGCTGTACCAAATGTTTTAGAAGGAATTTTGAAAGTTTAATTGAAAAAAAAAATTGTTTTGAAGGATTTGAAGTTTGATCGAGTGAAAGTTTGTTTCGAATAAATGAAAGTTTGTTTTGAAAGAATGAAAGTTTTTTTTGATTGACTGAAAATTTTATTGTATTTGAAGACTTTGTTTCTGAAAATCTAGTTTGTTTTGAAAGTTTTGAAAATTATATTAAATATTTTAAAAGACTTTAAAAGTTTTGATCCGTTCTTATTTTTGTTTACGAATGTTTTGAAAGGAAAATGAATTTCGAAATTCGATATGGAAATTGCTTATTGAGTATTTTTGTACTCATCTTTGTTTTCCTAAATATTTTTCAGATGAAGGATTGAATGATCGTTTTGGTAGGAGGTGAAGTTTAGCGTACTGGCACGAGTTTGAAAGTCATCATCCTATTTAGTTAAGTTAGTTTAGAAAAATTCTATAAAGAAATTGTTTCCGCTGAATAATTTTAGTTCTTAAGGTTTTTTGAAAGTTACGTTTTCGCATTTTGTCTGAATGACCGTATTAGAAAATATGGGTTGTTATACTTTTCATTTTCATTTTCTTCTTTTATTTTGTTTCTCTTCTTCTTCTACCCCGTTTTTCATTTTCGTTGCTTTCTTCCAATTTATTGATTTTCCTTTTAAGAAAATAGAAGTCGACCATATTTTGACAAAGCCAAAGAGGTATTTATGATTGAGATAATTTAGCTTTAATCTCAGATAAATTTTTTTATTTGGGTTCATTGAAATTAAATGACCATAAATATTAACCATGTATTTTGGCTAAGATTGCACGAATCTCATTTGGGATTCAACTCTTGAGCAAACTTTATTGGAAATTTTAGAATTCTATAAAAAAAAAAAAAAAAAAAA